TTTTAATTTTGTTGGGTCTTGCATGTAAGCTACATTTGATTTTCAAACTGTTTTACAGTTGGAAAGTTGATCAGGTACTGCTAACTCAAGAGCAAAGCTGAGGCTAAATAATTAGCACTGCATAAAATAGTTTGGATTCAATGAGAGCCAAATCAAATAATAAAATTTAACAGTAAGATTTTATATGTGATTTCCAATTTCTTTTTGAATTTCTAGGTGGAAAATATAGTATCGATTTAAAAAACAAAATCCCCTTGAAATATCTTACCATCCATAATGTATGGCAGGTAAGGTTTCTTTCTAATATAAGAGCAAAAACACGTTCATTTAAAACCACAGATACAAATGCATTTTTAGAGATGTAGGACACTAAATGCGTACTTTATATGCCTGCTAGCACTGCGTCTCTCCAACCTCTTAAAAAAAAGACATGACTTTTTTTCCCTTTACCAATAAATATCTCTAATTCTTCACCAAAAGAGGTAAGAGAACAAATACTTGTAAATTCTCTTTTTCCAAGAAATGGCATTTTTATACTGTAAGAGTCATCTTTCTCGGTGTCCTATGCTACAAGAAGAAACTTAAGCTTACTGAAAATTTGTCTTTAACACTAGCTATAAGTCTGACATGTCGGACAGTTAACAATCGGTTTTGACCTGATCTCTAAGTCTTTTTTGAAGTATCTTTTCATCGCCTTCGTGGAGCAGAGCATTTCTGCCAGATGAAGGCAAAGTAAAAGGCAGAGGAGGGTGACCATTGCTAGATGAGGGACAGGAGGCCTGAGCTCTCTCCACAATGTGTAAACAAGTCTTGTGTAGGAAGAGACAACGCTGACAACGAGCCACTCACAAGAGAAGCAGTAATTGGGAATGTACTGCAGGTCTGATAAGCAACTATGACTTACATACCATGGAGAAAAGTCTGGCATTGATGATGGAATGTACCAGAAATTTCAAGGTTCAAGGAAAGGGAGAGACACCATCTGAAGAGCTCTTGCCCACCCCTCTGACTCTGCTCATGTTCATCTGATCACATTATTGCCTTGTTCTCAATTCCAAAGTGACTTTCCTTTATCCAGAGATCAAAGCTAAACTCCTTTGCATTTCAGTCCCCATCTCGTGTCCAGCCCCCTGTCTTCCTGCTCCCTGTTCACTGCCACTGGGCCCTCCGAGCAGGCTGACACACCCTTCCTTCTCCTCCCACGACCCTGGGCACAACTCCAGGAAAGCAATTATTTTCTTGCACAGTGATGATTGTTTCCTGTCTCTTATCACCCTAGTAAACAGCAAGCTACTTGAGGACGAAAACCATTTCTTACTATCTTTGTATTCCCAGCCCCTGACACAACGCATGACCCCTAATAAATACTCTGTAAGTATCTCCTGAGCGAATGAGAGTGTTCTTCAGTGAAATGGTCCGTATCGGAGACCGGAGAAAGGGACTTAAAATTCTTGTTCTTAAAAGTAAGAGTAAACACATTCAAAGTTACCCCTATTTAACAAAAATTCCATGATTGACACAAATACTTAAGATGAAAGAATTTAAATTGCATGAGAAGTTAGCTGTCTCAGGAATTGTCATCCCCAAATGGTAACGACAGTGATAGAAAAAAGAGGGGTTGGAACCGTAATTATGGATCAACACTCATCAGCTACGGGTACAGAAACTGCTATTAAAGACCAGACGTCTGCAATATTAAAAAAAAAAAAAAAAAGAAAGGTACACAGAAATGTTTCTTACTTCTTTTTAAAAAGAAATCGATAGTTTCTTGGAAACTGTAAAGTTTCACTTTAGAAATAACTCTTCTTGCATGAAACTCTTGGTTTTATTCTTCAGCTGATGATATAAACATGTAAAACAGTATCTTTGTCTCTTAGATCATCTGCTTCTGAATGGAATGAGATGTGTTTATCTTCTTCAGAAATAATTTCCCTAATTGTGACACAACTAATTTTGTTATTCTCAATACAGGATGGCATTTTCCGTGGCCCAAGGATCACAGGGGTTACCTGAACTCCAGAGAAACAAAGGATTTGTTTTTCATGACATTCACAAATATAACCTATTCTAGAAAATATCATCTCATATTTGAATAAATAAGGAAGTGTTCCGAAAATTTTACTTAATTTGCTGCAAAAATAGGAGGATCTTAAACTCCAGATTTTATAACAGAGAAAATAATATTGTTGGCAGGCTTCAAGAAAATAATATTTGGAAATATACTGTATTTCAAATTATTAGCACTTACTTGTAATAACGCAACATTCTTGAAATGTAAATTTACTCTCTAATTGAAAAAAAAAACCATTATAATAACAAACCGGTATGAGTTACTACATGTATAGGGAATGCTAGGGTTCTCGATGTATTCCTACTTCTTAATGACCTTTTCCTTTTGAGCATTTATAAAGCATTCACCTTAAAAATGGCAATTATTTACATCTATAAGTGGTCTTGAAATTGTGGTTTTGGGGGCCATAATACATGTAGTTAAAAAAGGAAGAGTGGCCTGTATAAGATGGATCTAGTTAGACTCCTGATCCTCTCTCTGGCAAATCCCTGTGGTGTACAGACTCCATTAAAAAGAAGTTCTGATCCTCAGTCCCCTCACCTTTAAAAAAACCATCAGGGATGCTATGGCAAAAGGTCATTCCAAACATGCAGTGCGCATACACAGCAGATGTTCAGTAAGCTAATACCCATCCATCAAAGATCAATGCTTCCCTATTTGGCTCCAGCCACACCAACCTTCTCAGAGTCTGAGGGAGGAACTGGGCTCATTCCTGCCTCAGGGTTTTACACTAACTGCTCTCCGTGTCTGGAAAGCTCGTCCCCTCCACTTCCACAATAGCTGCCTCCTTCTTAGCATTCAGCTGTCCGGTCGACCATCACTTCCCCGCACATCCTGTCCATAGAAGACCATATCTTCCAAAGATAGCTGCAACAGTATCTCCTGTCTCCCATGGTCTTCTACAACGGGGAAGGGGGAGTCGATGTCACTACCTCTTCAACCGGTGTTGGCTCGGAATGCCTAACCAGGAAGCCTATGACAGAGACGATGTGTGGTTCCTGGAACCAGGCCATAAAAGGAGACGTTTGCACGAGTGCTCGCAGCAGCATTACAGCCCCAAACTGGAAGCAAACCAAATGTCCGTCGACTGCTGAATGGATAAACCAAATGTGGCATATCCATACAATGGAATATTATTTGGCCATGAAAAGGAATGAAGTACCAAGAAAATGCTAAAAACATTGATGAATCTCGAAAACCTACAACGTGAAAGAAGCCAGACACAATCGGCCCCCTATTACAGGACTCCATTGATAGGAAATGTCCAGGAGAGGCACATCTGTAGAGACAGAAAGTGGATTGTGGCTGCCTGGAGGGGAGAGGAGCTAATGGGTATGGGTTTTGTTGTCGGAGTGATGAAAATACTCTGGAATTAGACGGTACTGACCGTCGCACAACTCTGTGAGCATAATAAAAACCACTGCTGAATGTTATGGTAGGTGGCCTGAACTCCAATAAAATTATTAAAAATATACTATGAAAAGGACTTTGCAAAAAACTAATAAAAGATTTCTTAATGGTTTACTAGGTGAACAACAACAACAAAAAAAACCTAACAAAACAAAATGAAACAAGAGGAAACAGCCTGTGACTCGTTCCCCAGGACATTCACTTGGGGAACCCAAGGCCGAAGAGGTCTGGACCACCTGGCGAGGCTGAGGCTCTCGGTCAAGGCTACAGGTGACGGCTGGTCAGGGTAGCGGCGGGCAGGAGCACTGACTGTCAGACAGATGAGTGAGGATGCTTCCTCGTGCCAGCCTCCAGCCACAGTCACCCGCTGCCGGGAAGTCCTTCTGGTTGAGGCCCCACGTGCTGTGGGGCAGAGATAAGCCATCCCTGCTGCCCCCAGACTATTCTTGACTCTGAACCAGAGAGCACATAAAATGCTTTTTTCACCATTAGGATTTGGAGTGCTTTGTTACAAGGCCATACTAATCTGAACTCTATCTAAAATAGCCCCCACACCACACCCTTCCCTTTATCCAGCTTTATTTTTCTCCCTGGCCTCCTAGTCATTAGATGACATTAGGGTATTTACTTCTTTTTATTGTTTTACTCCAGAGAGTGGGGTCTTTTGTGTCTTGCTCCTGTAACCACATCACTCAGACAAATACCCAATACATAGGAGATATGTAATATATATTTGTTGAATAAACAAATTAACGAATTATGGGGAGGTCACTGGTTGGGACTTGCTTTGGCATGAATTCCAAGATGTAGCTACTGTCCTTTCATTACCTTTCCCTATAAAATACTTTCCAGTAATGAAGTATGGAAATCCACAACACTGCGAATGTCAATTATCATTGTTTCTTTGTTTCGAAGGAAAATCCAAGATGGCTTATAAAACTGCAAACATTCCTGCTGATGCTATTCAATTACTTGATTTAAATAAATGAATCAAAATGGGTATAATCAAGAAATAAAATGTATGTGGCCAAAACATAAAAATTGACTTACTCTACTGAAGTTAGGACCTTTGTGCTCATAAAATTTAATTGCTACATATTTTTGCTCTATAATCCCATGCTAAACAAGTGAGAGCAAAATAGATGTGATTTGTGTTGGTGGAATTTAAGAAACAAGACAAACGAACAAAGGGAAAAAAAGAGAGGGAGAAAAACCAAGAAACAAACTCTTGACTCTAGAGAACACACTGATGATCACCAGAGGGGAGGTGGGGGGAAGGGTGAAATAGGTGATGGGGATTAGTAAGAGTCCACTTATCATGATAAGCACTGAATTATGTACGGAAATGTTGAATCATTATATTATAGGCCTGAAATTGACATAACACTGCATGTTAACTATACTGGAATTAAAAATAAGACACAGTAGACACCGCAATGTTTTTTAATGCTAAATGGTTTACTTTTTGCAAAACATATGGCCGTATTAGATTTTTCCTCCGAATGAAAGCATAGCGTACCTCTGGTGCCAGATATTCTGGTGTGCCACAGAATGTCTTCATGGTGGCTGCATCTGTGATCCCTTCTTTGCAAAGTCCAAAATCTGTAATTTTTATGTGGCCATCTTTATCCAGCATTAAATTCTCCAACTGTGTAGTAAGAAAAATGACATAATTTGTTTTATAGTTTTCAAAAATAGGAAAATACTGTTTTGAAAAATTATTGAATGCTGAGTAAGGTATTTTGGAAAGAGGACATAGCTGTAGTTAATAGAACTTGCAGCACTTACAAACCCTATAGCTTCCTAACTCATGTGTAAAAAGAATTATGTTTTATCAAATACTTCACGATGATAAAATTATTGATTTTTAAACCAATGGGAGTAAGAGCCATTATTGTGTAAGCTCTGAGAACTAAAACCTGAATAACTTTTCAAAGCAAACAGCAATCCTTCTTTTTTTTTTCTTAATAAATGGTGATCTAAACAATCCCAAAGAGACGAGCATCTTCTTCTAGATATATACAGATGGTTTTCAACAATTGCTCTTGGGAATCTATTGCTATTATAAAATATTCACTTACAGAAATGTTTTTTGGTGGTTGTTGTAAATCAAACCTAAATCTTATTTTGTAAGGTAAGGCGATATCCTCTTTTGAAGATCTTTGTAATAAAGAAATACCAACCCTTTTAAACATAAAAAGAAAAAGAATATCAAAGTCAAACATTCAACAGTTAATGAAAATATATAGCACAAATATTATAAAACTGGAATCTCTTTGAACCCATTAATTCAAAAACACCAAAGAGAATTTTAAAGATTTAACCAAGTAGCAAGATCAATTGCCTCAAGTGAAAATTATAAAATGTAAGAGGAAAAGGAGTTTGTGCAAAATCAATGCAATTAAAAATAGCAACAATAACTGATCTTTTCCTCCCAATGTGAACCCAACTTTATGATTATCATCACACAAAGATACATATGAGGTCTAGCTTGTGATCCTATAGCCTTATATAGACAAGGCTCCTAAGCCTGCTCAGTCATCTAGATGTAACCTAAAGGTACATACAAGAAACACATACACAAGAAACACATGTGAAAAATGTATTAGCAGGAAAAATGACAATTAGCTTATTTAAGGAGTGAAGACTTACTCTCCTTCATGTGATGGCATATGACAGTGCTTACCTGAACTCTGAAGTCAATATCAATTTCAAAACAGAACTCCATATAAGAATATAAACAGATATCAATCATAGAAAATGGGATATGTCACAGTATCCAAAGTCTTATACGCGAGAAACCAAATACAGTTAAGGAGGTAATGCTCACTGAAGGAAAGAGAACAGACCTGTCTTTGGGTACAGTACTAGCTGAACTAAATGCTCAGTACACGTCTCATGAACTGTACAGACTTCGGTGAAGTGAGTTTTTCACTGGTCTACAGGAAGGTGAACGAACCCTAAATATATTTTGAACCTTTCAAAAATACAAGTTCTTTTATTTTATCTAAATTCAGATATCACGCATCTTCTACGCTCCTCTACTAACTGGAACCTAAAAATCAAGCCTAATTTACACAGATGGCAACGGGGCCTGAATACTGAAGCCAGTCAGAAACATCAAGAAAGACTCTCTCTGTCTACTTCCCTTTCTTCCGACCACCACTCCCTGCTTTGTTCTTTCTTTTCTTTATGCTTCTGGTTGTCTATCCTTTCGCCTTCTCTTTCAGAAACACCCTCCTCTTCTCTCTCTACTGAGAAGTATATACCGGGAAAGTCTATTATTTTGCTTAATGAAAATATAAATGCTCTGCTCTCTTCATTTTAACGAATGTGCATATTGTTTTAATATATGAATATTATCACATATAAAAACAAAACCAAATTAAATTCTTCAAATGCTGAAAGGTCTTTTAAAAATATTTAGTAAATCTCTTTTATTAACGTAATACATAAAAATTCTTATAAAAACTTCAAATAATACATAATAGTACTGAAGAGAACGTGAATGTGCCGTCTATAGTCCATTCCATTCCCACTCCTCTCTATACGCTTTATATGCACTGGAAAGTATTCACGGAAACATGATGGCATGCCCCATTTCTCTACATTTTGACAAGGCTATCAGGAAGCGAATGGAGACAGAAGTTTTTTAAAAAACACTTTTTTAATACCAAAAAGTGTGTCTATTTTTTAAAATCCCGATTTGCACCTTGGCCTCTAGCCTCCTATCCCGGCTCTAAGATGCCAGGGATTGAGGGATGAGGAAGGAACTGAGACGCAGGAGAGAGCTGGAAAAGGGAACAGGGTGAGCATGACCAAGAGTCTCAGTCTGCCCAGAATGGGGGGGGTTTCCCAGGATGTAGGACTTACAAGTTCTGTAACTGGGGAAGTCTGGGGCAAACCAGGACAGTTGGTCTTCCGACTTGTTTTATAAATATGGAGTCAAGTCAGAGAACGCATATGTCAACTCAAGCTTTCCCTTACTCACTGTGTGACTTTGGGCATGTTGTTGATTTCTGTGTCTCTCAACTTCGTCTATGAAACAGAGGTAAATAACAGTAGCATCCAACGTGGCTGCTTTGAGAATTAGAGATACTGAATGCGGAACTTTACACACCGCACACATTCAATAAATGTATTGATCATTTATTAAACATGGAGAGCTTAATGGCTGAATTATAAGTTATCACAATGGTGTGTGCTCTTCGAGACAACACAGGAACGTTCAGGAACGGAACTTCCTGAGAACTAAAACCTAAATAACTTTTCAAAGCAAACAGCAATCCTTTTTTTTTTCTTAATAAATTGTGATCTAAACAATCCCAAAGAGATGAGCATCTTTGGGCAGTTCAGTGACTTTGTTAAAAATACTGTCAATATGCAATAATTTCTATTAAATAAAACAACAAAACACAAATACTTCATAATTTTTGAGCCAGTTTTTTCATGGTGTCCACCTTCTCCCATCATTTATTTTTGCTCTTTGGACATCCTGAAATGTCATTTTACTGAGCACAACTGACAAAAACAACTTATTCATCAAAAAGAATCAACAATAGTCAGAGCTGTATCACTTTACAGAAAGGATATCCCCAAACGTACTCTTGTGTAAGGATAAATCGGGGGTAACTAAATATCCAGTCTTGTTTAAAAATAAGTAATAATTCAACACAGATGCATAACAAAGTTTCTGTAAAATATTAAGAACCATCAGCATTGTGATTAACGAATGTGGAAGATGCACAGAATCACCTGGAAGTCTTTTCAAAGCAGATCAATGGCTTAGATCGGATCAAAATCACCTGGAAATCACTTCCTCTGTGCATTTAACACTAAAGGAGATTTAGTCACACATTCTGTGTCAAGAAGAAATTAAAACATTTACACATGATCTCTCCTTGGTTCTCTTTCCTCAATTTCATGGCTGTCCTTCTTGCTTGGGTTGGCTGCAAAGTGCACAATGCACAGTGTCACTGACTGCTCAGGTACTCTCCATTTATAAATTCCAAATCCATCTGTTTTTACCTCCAATCAATCTTAGTTTCCAAGACTGAGAGCGGGCATTATGTTTATTCTCCATGGATGCATCCACTGGCAAAAGCCATGGAAGTCAAATAGGAGGTTTGAGAGAAAAGATTATATATTAAAAATTCGAGTGATGCTTACTCTTTGTCCAGTTAGAGGGGGTTGCTTTCTAACAGTTCATTCTTTAAGAGAGAAAATATTAGACCTATACCTCACAGAATTCCCATAAAAAAAGGCAACATTTTTCCCCAGTAGAAGCGGACAGCCATTACCTGATAGACAGTCTTGATTCAGTGTATATACAAAAAAAAATATAGTAGATTTTGACATCTTTTTTCCCTCTGTGCTTTGTGGACAACAAATCAGAGCAAGAAAGTACTATGCTCCTTCTTGTTCTTGCTGGTGCCCCATAGAATTAAACTCTAAAAATCCTTGCTGTCTTTAATATAGTGCTTCTCAGCACTTCACAATACAATAAAAAATGAAATGTGTAGGGCGTAAGCAGGATCAGCAGACGGGCTGCTTGAAGCCAGAACTGACTGGCCCAGAGGCTCTATGGCTCAGGCTCACCTGTAACCCATTCGTGGTGCACAGGCTGGGAAGCTTTGCTCTGATGTACGCCAGGCTGGGTAGGCTGGCTAAGTTTTGTATACTCTCTACTAGTCTAATATAGACACACATTCTAGTGTCTCGCTACCATACATATCTCTTAGTTATCATTTCATTTAAATGGCTGACACCGTGATTCAACAAAAGAATGAAATCAGCAGTTCCTAAGGGCTCTGATGGCTGTCAGAGCAGGTATGAACAATCCCCTTCACTCACTCTTACGCCCCATTTTGGCTGTTACATCAAACCCAATGTTCGGTACCCTGACTGCCTCCGGCCCGAGAATGAAGTCAGGAATCTGTCCTCTGCATATTGCATTCTCAGGTTTAGGGCTACCAAAGTGCCAACATGTCATACAAGTTAACCTGCAGGACCTTAATGACCCTGAAGTTAAGAGTGTGGAAATACTGAAGGAAAACACGTCTCCACTTTCAACCTGCCTAAGCTAGAAAAGGATTCATAATACACAATGGCAGACCCCACTAAGGTGGCCAGGCTGCTTAAGAACTAGACTACACATAAGGAATGCAGCCCAATAGTACAATGTAATTTTAGAGGGTGAAGGGGTTCTTAATAGCAGTGGCTTAAAATTTTTATAGAAGAGGGAATCCAGGGTGATTGGTTAGAAGTTGTAGCTGGGGGATGAGTCTTCAGACTTGGTAGGTAAAGCAACAAAAACCCTGCTCTTGGTTAGACTGCAGGCTTATCTGGGGCAAGCGCTAGGGAGCTGATGAAGGCTGAGAAGATTCTCAGCCCATCCTTTTGTGCTGGCACGGAGACCTGGAAATTACCTAAATCTATCTGTTGGTTTCTCATGTTAATAATGTAAATGGTTACATTAACCATTAAACTCTCTAATTAGGCAGAAAACAAGATTAGATGAATCACCAACAGAATGTAGTAGCGATTTATGTACGATTTTCTGCCCCTTGCCCTGTTATAATTTCTCGGAGAAGTTAATTCTTCAAGAATTCCAGAATCCTTATATGCACTTTTGCATATGTCCCTATTCAGCCTAATCTGTACTTGGATGGCATGGCCTTTGAAAAGAAAGCTTTCACTTGCAAAGTAAGAACTAAGCAGAAAGGAAGATTTTAATATAGTTTGCATTACTGACAAAATCTTAAAAGAGATTTCTTCAAATTTTGACGCTATCATGAAGATATACCAGTTTTTCCTAAGTAATCACAAGGAATCTGGGTCCTTCCTAAAACAGAATTTCATATTATGACATATATTGATAAACCAAGCAAACTTACTTTTAGAAGTGTAACAAAGTGTAATAATTTATCTGCTGCTATGAACAACTTTTTAGGAACTATGAATTGATAAAATATCTTAAATTAACTCGCACATGAAGTAAGGCTTTCCCTCCAATGATAAATCGATTTGCGTTTGAATAAACATAAGGTCATTAGTAAGGAGATGATCAAGACAAATCTGAGCCTGATCAATTAAAGTGGGCACCTAAATCAGTTTTTGATGCCGTTTTTAATGTATCTGGTATAAATTTAATTAAAACATCCATTCTTTATCTTTGGCAGCTTTATCCGAATTTTAGATTTACAAAGATCTCCCAGAGTTACTCCAGTGCATTCCTTCCCCCACGCAGATTTCATTACAACTCCACAAAGGCAGAAGGGTGTAAGGAGCAGGACACTGGGCCTGGAGCTAGGATTCATGGTTTCCATAATCTTGACCATATCACCAACTTAGTCCTGGACTTCAAGTAAGTCACCTGCTAGGCTTCCAGGTTTCCATGACCTCACCTGTCAAGTACAGACCAACTTGAAATATCGACGATCCCACCTACAGTATTGCATTCTATTATGCAAAATCCTGTGCGCTACAGATACAAATAACACTTGTACAAATTTGAATGCTTGGCTTTTAACATTACATGTATTCTTCTTGGTGTATATTCGTGTGGCTTCTGTCCTGTGTTATATATTTACTTAGGCCTTAAGTTAATACTACATTAAAAAAAAATTAACTTAAGAGAGCAGAGACCACCTAACTGTCTAGTAAAGTGCATATGGTAACTACATGGACTGGTATTTATACATACTGCTGTTTAAGAATTTTGGTCATCAGAAAGGACAGGGCAATGAAACTCCTACCAAGTGTACTTTGATATACCAACATCCAACATGTTGATTCATTTAAGAAGAAATGATTAACAAAGACTACTGACTGACCAAGACCATCCCCATTATATCATTCCTTAATTAGGGCTGGCAATCAAATGGGCATTCTTTCCCTTGTTTCTTTACGTTAATAGTTCCTACTTTCAGCCTAAGCATTTTGAATGTGTTACTGAGTACCTCCAAATTATTCTCATTTCCTTAAATCAAAGAAACCCCCCCCTTTTTTTTCACTACAAGTAGGATCCATAAAATGTAACACTTCACGCTTGGGGAGAGCAGCCTCCGAAAAGAGCTATTTCTTTTTTTTTTTTAAAGATTTTTATTTATTTATTTAACAGAGAGAGCACAAGTAGGCAGAGCGGCAGACAGAGGGAGAGGGAGAAGCAGGCTCTCCGCCGAGCAGGGAGCCCGATGTGGGGCTCGATCCCAGGACCCTGGGATCGTGACCTGAGCCGAAGGCAGCCGCTTAACCGACTGAGCCACTCAGGCGCCCCGAAGAGCTATTTCTAAGTAAGTTTGGAAATGCCATGTAACTTACTTTCACCATGCCATATAACTATTTTCTTTAAAAAACATCTAGATTCAAGACATGTAAACATCATCGGATTATTTGGCCACACAGACATCAACTACAGAGGCTTAATTCTTTCACATTCCTGGTTATAAAGACTTCAGGCTAAATATAATCATATTGTTGATCTGGATTCATCTCTGGTGCACTTTGGCATTTGGATGGCTGCTCATCCCTGATCTAGGTGGTTCAGAGTTGCATAGTTCATTTTTCCTACAGTATTTATAGCTTCTTTTAAACTTTAATGCAAATATGCTATACAAACATACATACTATAAATTTCATTGTCAGCGTACAGAATAATACTTTGCGAGGAAGTTAAGCCTTAAGGTCATTCACAGCATAAAGGTACATGATAAGAACACCCTAGAGAGAACCTAGACAAGTGCTTAGATAGATAACTTAGGAACCACAGGCATTTAAAAGGAGTGAGGTGGGAGTGAGGAGGTAAGTGTGATTTTTTACAGTATGTAGATATGTTTCGTACAGATGGGATTTCATAAAAGACTTCTAGTTCTCCAAATCAAATCATACTTTAAAGGAACTAATATTTAATAAATTCAGCAACTCTGTATCAAATCTTAGTAAGTCAAGATTACTATATGATTTACTTTTTACAAAAGTAAGATAGTCACATTTAGAATGTGTTCAAAATGTGTCATGGTACACATTTCCTTAACGTGGTCAATCTCATTCAAAACAGTGTCATGAGCATTACCACTACCTTTTATGAGCTACTCCAGGGCTAAGCAAACTATGGCCCATGAATGAAATCTAGCCTACTGCTCGTTTTTGTAAATAAAGTTTTATCAGAATATAGCCAGCCACGCTCAAGCACCTACCGCCCTGCAGGAGCGGAATGGAGCAGTTGCAGAAGCAACAATGGGCAGCAAAGCCCATTGAAAGTATGTCAGGCCCTGAGCTGTTCCAAGGGTCTCATCAGGAAGGAACTCAGAGAAGTCAAGTCACTATTGCCCATAAAACAATATGGCACTTCTTGAAATGGAAACTAAATGAATTAATAAAAGGCTATATTAAAATGCTCCAGATATTTAAACCCACCACAAAGTGAAGACAAAAATCAAATTAAATATTTCCCCCCAATAAATATCTTACGTATGATAAGTTTCTCCATAATACATCACAGCGTCGATGGTAGGATGTAATAATGAAACCTACTTTAGAATGTCCCTGGCAAAGTCACTTGGCTCTTAATTGAATGTTTACCATTACTCATAAATTTCCAGAAAAATAAAACTATTATTGGTAGGTCAGAACAGTCAAGCAGAAATTATGGCGCACGTCAAAAACTCAGACATAAAGGAACTATGTATGTATCAGTGAATGGAATTCCTGTCAAATGCGATGAACTACATTCTTAAACAGAGTGCTTCTTTTTTCCCAACTAAATCTGCTTTTCTCCAAACTGTGTAACTTTGTAATTACTTTGTGTTTGTCCCTATAGTCTCTGCAAAAACAAATTTTGATTACTTTTTTTTTTTTTTTACCTTGAGATCACGGTACACAATCTTTCCGGAATGTAGATAGTCCAAAGCAGAGACAATTTCTGCACCATAGAAACGTGTGCGGTCCTCGGAGAACACCCGCTCTCTCGACAAATGGAAAAACAGCTGCAGGGTAAACAGCAGGGACAGGATTGTAATAATTACTGATTTAGTGGGGGAAATTAACACAAACATGAAACACCTCCCATCACCATATTGTGATGATAGATGGTGCGCTCTCAGTGGGCACTGAGCACTTTTACACAGCTGCTGCTTATCTTCTCCAGGTTTCCAAGGGGAGACTGCGAGCTGTTAAATCAGCGTTTTAATCAATATACCAATCTTGTTGAAGGCATTCTGCTTGCTACCCATTTAACCTTCACTTACCAGAGGAAAAAAGTATGCATCATCAGATTGCATTTCCCCCTTGCTATACTGTTGCTTCACTCTTTCAAGGATGAGGCATTGAGACATGATTAAAATAAATGTACACAACAGAGATGTAATATTTCTACTTAATTATTTGATTTACATTTGATTTCAAAGAAAGGACTGCTGATTTGCTAAAACTGATGGATGTGAACTTGTTATATTCTACAACCGTCCTTGCTTCCTCAGATCCCTAGAAATGTTTTCAAAGTTTCAATGTTTTCTACAATGACAAACCGTAATGCTTCAAGTTTTCACTTTAGTAATAGCCAAAAGGGACTGAGAAGCTCCTGTTATTTCCCCTTATAGTTCTACTTCAGTAATAACCACAACACCAACCTCCCCTCATATAATCATTTAAACCACACGCTCTTTCACTTTTATTCATCACCTATAGGACAGACCACTCCGCAGTCAACAGGCATTTCCTGGGAGCTCACTGTGTCCACACACTCAACTCTCCATTTAGGCCAGCTCCTCATTTACGGAACTGCCCATCTCATCTCAGTTCAACAACACATATGGGGAAGGAGCAGGTTCCAGGCAGTATGATTTGACTTCCAATGTACTATCTCACTGTATTAAAAAATCCACCAAGAACAATGAAAGACTGTTGACAGTGCTGATACACTGCTAGGTATCACAGTAGGTACCCAATACACGTCTGTGGTTAAAGAAATGAACCAATCAATCGGTGTATCCTTGACTACAAGACCACAAATTAACTACACCTTCACATGGATTATGGACTCTTAGCACTCCGACAAGTATGTAAGAATGACGGTTAACCAAGATTTGTTCCTCACACACCAAATCATAATTTAGGCAACATAAAATCGATTTCTTCTGACAGATTTCTTCCCTTTTTCCACCTCCACTGAAGAGTCTATCATTATTTTAAGATCTATTTTATGCATAACCCATTGTCACAATAAAGAGCAGGAGGGAATATGACTTAACAATTGCCAAAAAAGACTGGCTTAACACTAGTTATAGTAAAACTAAAATACTTGGCAGATAGTCTCTAAACTCTAATGCTATCTACTATCTTGTCATATTTTATCAAATCTAAGATGTTCTTGATTGGAACTCCATCATCATTTTAAGTTAATAGTAAGAAACAAAAAAAGTAGTCAATTAAAGCTATAATAAACCATCAAATATCAAAGGCATTCTGACTGCAGAAACGTTAAATATGTCTTACAAATGATCCAATATAGTATGCCAAAAATCAAACCAATGCATACAATTACTCAGGGATATTTCTTAAAATTTACTCATTTTATACAGGCAGATATAATATTCTTAATGCATTACCATTCAAATGAGGATGAGAAGTAGAAATACGCATAGATCATCAGTAAAGCCATTCTGAAAAATTTCTGGGTCAGAATAATTTCTGCCATGCTTTATTCAAAATATCACTAACTTGGATGAAGGAACCCCTATGATCTCTGTGTAGATTTATAGCAATCTTCTAATGGGGTGAAAATATAAACAATATTTCTAAATTTTATAAAAATAATGTCAAGCTTCCTACTTACTCATCTACTCTATAAAAGACATAGATAGAGCCTCCCTAAATCAATATAATACATGCAGGCTTCTAGATCTTTATTTAGACCATATTCTTCAATTTGTCTCCCAGCCAATTTCTATAAAAATATCAGCTAAAAAAATGATACTTAAGAAGAACTCTATTTCTCAATCTGCTGTCCTCTGATGTCTACCCTTATTACCTTATAGAACTGATTCTTGCTAAGATAACCAAGAATCTCTTAATTGCCAAATCCAATGATCTATTTATACTCTGCACTTCTTCCTGGTCTGCACCTGAGGACATTGGCTCTTGGCCTCCTCCTTGAACATATTCCTTGGCTTTGGTGATTCAGCTCTCTCCTGATTTTCTCCCTAACTCTCTGGATATTCCTTCTCAGTTTCTACTTTGGCTTTGAACCAACTTTCCATTTAGTGAGCATTAATTATTTTAAAGTCACTGTATTGGGCACTAGGAAGAGAAAAAGATGGCATACAGATTAGAGAAATCATATAAAAAAATAAAAGACTAAAACACAAGGGAAAAGGGGGAAGGACACAGACAATTAAAATGAGAGGAATACAAATGAATACAGTTCATGAAAATATGCCACCTTATAATAATCAATGAAGGCAAGATAAAAACATAAATGAGACAATTTAGCATATCCAGAAATAGCATTTCAGTGAAAGTGTTGGGAGATGAGTATCTTTATACACTGGTAGCTGGGATGTAAGCAGACAGCAGAAACTCTTCACAGGGCAAATGGCAATAGATACTAAAAGGACCATAGTTGTTCTTCTAGAAATTTCCTTTTAAAAAAAGGAAATGCAGAAGTCTTCTACAAAAGGATATTCTCTGTAGCAATATATATGAAAAAAATGCAAAAGACAGCCTTCATACTATGTTGAAAAATAAAGTTAGATTTTCATCTAATACCGTATCAAAATAAATTTCTGATATAACTCATAGTTAAATATAAAATATTCAACTAATTGAAAAACTAGAAAATAAGGATAAAAAGTTCATGGGACCAGGCTTACCCTCCTGCCCTACACAACTGGGCAAAAACACAAAAAACAAAAGAATGGTAACTGGGAAAAGTATATAACAGAATTCTCTTCAGATATTGGACAATAGGCAGTGCAGGACCAAGATCTTTGTGAAGAGAGAAACTAATGAGTGAGCCCTAAAACCACCAGACTTCTGTCCAAGGGCACTTTGTGGAACACATTACCAGCAGGAAAGGATTGATCCCAGGCATAACTCAGAGGTCTCACTGCTGGAGAGTGAAAAGCAGATTTTGAGGAGGATGAGGTAGATGGCATTTGCAGGACAGAACAAACACCAGTGAGGAAGAAGCTACACAAAATCCGCACAGTCGAGTCTGCTGCGGAGTACGAGAAATGCGTGCGTAAGGTTAAACTCTGCGAGAACAAGGAGAGAAGCAATGGAGGTCTGTATGCCAAACAATTCCCGGAGCTCGCTCAGAGTTGAGAGACATTCAATTTCTAACCAGTCAGAACAGTGTCATTACCGAATAACCAGGCATTCAGCAGACATTTCAAAACAAAGTTAAACCCACAAAAGCTAACAAATACAAAGAAGACAACAAAATCCAGGCATTCATGTAAAATTCCGATGATCTGGTATCCATCAACAATTACTACACATAAGGAGATGCAGGAAATACGAAGTATAACCAAGAGAAAAATCAGTCTTTAGAAAGACCTTAAGAACAGCAGGGATGATGGAGTTAATAGACTGACTTAAAAACAGCATATGAACAGAAAGAAGAGATAAAGGAAAATAGAAGTAGAAATAAATGGGAAGTCTAGAGATAAAAGATAATAAATGCATAGATCTGCGTATCTCAATGAACCTCAACATGATGAAAACTCATAAACGTGCATGAATAATCGGAACATAGGTCAGAGCACATTCAAATCGCAGAAAAAACAGTGACAGAAAATCTTTTAAAAATTCTGAGGGGGGCGAAAAACATTACCTACAGAGGAACAGTAATACAAGAATAATCCTAGACTTCTCAGAGGCTATAAGAGCAAAAAGGCAATGCGACAATACATCCAAACGGCTAAATGGAAAACAAAAAGGTATCTTAAAATTCTGCATCCAGTGGGAATATCCATCAAATAGGAAGCACATGTATGTGAGAAAAATGTTGAGGCCAGGAAAAGAGACACTGGAAGAGGTCAGGTGAAATGATCACAGGCTCGCACACAGAGCCCAAAGTCTTGGCACCCTCGCCCGGCAGGACAGAAAGGCTTCCTAAGAGACGTGGCACCCAGGACAGCCCGTGAGGTTACTGCCTCCGTAGTGCAAATACATTAGTGTCAGAGCAAAGGTCAGTGGCCAGTCTCAGCATAAAAGCAAGCCTGGGAAAGATCACTGTTCATGAGTAAGAACAACTTCATCCGATAAAAAAATTATCTGGCACAAAAATAACCAGGAAAATAAAACCCATTACTAGGAGAAAAATGAATAGACATGGACTCAGAAAGTGACACAGATGACAGAATAGAATACTGTGATAAAACAGCTATTAAGATATAGTCTAAAAGTTCAAAAGGTAGAGAGAGGAGCATAATAAGGAAATAAATGGGAGACATATAAAAAAAAAGTCCCAAATTAAACTCCAAGAGATAGTCTGATGTCCTAGATGAAAAATGAAAAACTGGATTGAATTATCACCATGCTAGACATTGTAGGAAAAAAATGATAAAAACAGACTTCAAGACACAGGAAAAAAAATCTAAAATTAAAGATAGGAAAACAATAATGAAAATGATGAACCGAGCATTAATAAATCATGGGACAGTATCCTGCAGGCTAAGAGATGCATAAATGCACTCTCAGGATAAGACACGAGAAATGAAAGAATGGAAAAAAATACTTAAATAATGTCCAAAAAGTTTTCAAATTTGATGAAAAGTATAAGCCTACAGATTCACAACGGCTTTAAAAAAACCAACTGAAAGAAAGGTGAAGAAAATCCTACAAGGCACATCATAATTAAATAGCTGAGAGTAAGTGCTAAAAGGCAAGTGCAACAGGACGGGGGGTGGTGGTAGAGAGACTCAGTAAGCACAGGGACAAAGAATGAGAGCAGACGTCTGTCAGAAACGTGTAAACTGGGAGA